CGTCATTCTTTCTGTATTGCTGTTGTGGGATGGACGGATGGACGGACGGTCGTGGTTCCGAGACGGCCTTTTCTGCTTGCCACTTGGCGAAACGGGCGTGCCGGCTCCTGGTGGCACCTTTTGCTGTCAAGCTGGACAGCTTTTCTCCCTCGTGGTGAGGCGCTGCACTGCGGATTACGGCGTGCTATTAGCATTTACCACTCAATTGTTCTCCCGCCGGGCCCGAGATGGCGAGCAAAGTCACGCAATATCCATTCTTTTTTTGTTGTTGTCTTATCCCACCTCTGACTGCGTCGTACACGGAACGCCGGGATGCGTGATATACTTGAATCTTTTGTTTGTCGTCTGGCCGTCAGCAGGTGGGGGAAGAAGACGCACGGCCAAGAAAGTTGACGAGTCGTGAGGGGAAAAAAAGAAGGTCGAAACAATTCTTCGAGGTCCAGAGTTTCGGTCGAATTGCTTAGCTAGCTTTGGGCTGCTCGGTCCGTGTCTGTGCGTTGGTTCATGGCAAGGCAAAAGCAGTTGGTGGATGACGACGTGGCATCTCGGTATTAGATGCGGCCACCGCTTCTCACGGGGTTTTAACCTTTGAGTCAATTCAAGTATAATCCATTCTGTGCAAGTCATTGGAACGAGTTTGATAAGAACGTAGCGCATCATCACGGTTGCTTTATGCGAGCAAAACTCACTCGTAGCCTGTGATGTCAGGTTTCAAGAGGCGCCCCGTCTGCGGATAGCAAATAGGACGGCGAGGATGGTCAACATGTTGCCATTGGCGGCCACACTCGAGCGGACGGCGCAACTTAGTTTGAAGAAGATGAAGATGGCTTGCTACCAAGAAGGCTAGTAGCGCTGGCCTAGTGGTACAGCGGCTGCCCAGTGGTTGGTGCAACAGGGCCAGACGTCGAAATTCAATTTGCATCCCGGACCCTGGCCTGGCCTGGCCTGGCCTGTCGAGGCGAAAAAGGAACAAGGGTGACGGTGACGGACGGGCACAATTTGGCTGACCGCGCTCGTACAGATGCTCGTGCTACGTGTGCTAATGAAACGAACGACAAGCCATGGCCTCCCCCGTTTCCGCGCTCTCGCTTGAGTGGCCGTGGATCCATGTTGACGGCCGTGGATCCCAATGTTGTGCCGCCGAGATCCCTCTGGCTGTGATGATGATGCGCCTTGGGAATCCCTGTCGCGGGCAAGAGTTGAAACGCAAGAGCAGGCTGGAGTTTGTTTCATGGGCGAGACTAGAGAGAGGCCGCGGTCGCGCGCGCCAAGTGATGGAAGTGAAGCAGTGGGAGAATACGGGGAAGCGCCAGTGATTGAGATATGGATGGATTGATGGATCAAATGGAACCCCCCCAAGGCGGTGACGGGGCCTGGGAGCACTAAGATATTGGGGGCAGGTACCCGTGCGTGAAGTAAAATGAGAGAATATCTCACGACTCCGTATCTGGTACTAGTTGTAATTGCGAGTGTGCAAGTACGAGTACTAATATATAGATAGAGGGGGGGAGGCGCCTGTTTGAGCTGATGAGGCCGCCCAGCAGTGTTTTGGTTTGTTGTTGTTCTTTTTATTTTATTCGCCAATTTGATTCGAGATGCAGTGAATTGTGTATAGGTACATGTACGAGTATAGGTAGGTATAGCACCGAAGAAGTGGGATTGGGTTTTAGCCAGGCGGCCTTTTAGGTTCCGCCGTGCCTCACTGCAGAAACTCTCGGGTGCCATGCGCCGAGCCGGACCAGATTGCCTGAGTCGTCGCAGCGCTGTTTGAGGCCTTTGTGGCGACCGCTACCGTTCTGGCCCAAGCCACTACACGCGAGGACTCGTACTTGTACAGCAGTGGACAGGACAGGACAGGACAGGCATGGATGGAATGGAATGGGCGGGGTCTGGTTTGGTTTGGGCTCAACTTAGCACTGGTCCATTGAGCCTGACAATCCATCATAAGGGCCCCTGCTCCCTCTGATCTGCGGTTCGCTACGTGCTTGTAACCCAACCAGACAAGACATTTGCTTAGGTCCGGTCTGGTGCCGTCAATCAATTTGATCCATCCATCCAATATCAATCTGCATCTCCATCAAATCTCCAGCTGTCTGCGCTCTTCTGTAGCGCCACGTCTTCAGCACTTGACCACCTACGCAATTCACAGCACTCACTTGACAGCACAGCCCAGCATCAGCACGAGCGTCGCAACACCAGCGCCGCAGCCGCCAGAACTGGACATACATCCAAGACCCCCGGCCAAATTGCATTTTGGTCAATCAATCCAGTTTGATTTGATTGCAGCCATCAACCATCAACCAGCACAGCACGGCTGACCGTCGTTTCTTCTTCTTCCCTCGCCTGGGCGCTTCCCCAGTCACTTCGTTCGAGTCGCTCCTCTAATCACCCCCGGGCGCCGTTTTATTTTTGGCGGTGCGTCTGCCGCGCTTCTGCACTGAAACTCGTCGCCTAAGCACTTCTCCCTTCTCGGCAATGCGCACTTCGCCTCGCCATCTCTCCAGACGCTCGCTCTCCTTTCCGCCGCTCACGTCTTGCTTTGTCGATTCTCGTCGTCCGTAAACCCACGGAAATCAGTCCTGTCCTCATTGACGCTTCCTTTCCTTTGCTTTCCTGTCCTGTCATTTCTCTTTACACCATTGTGACGACTTTCAATCAACATCTTCCCTTCTTTGTCTTTCTTTTCTCTTTTGTCACGGCTTGGCTTTCGTTCCTTCCTCCGTTTCTCACGCAATCTGCCTTCTGGAGGTGTCTTGACACTTGAAACTGTCGCAGCCCCCCCTTTACTTTCTTGACGATAGCTGTACTCTCACTCTCACTCTCTTCCCCCCACGCCCCAATCGATCCACCAACTATCGAATTCTTGCATTCCAGTTTGCTCGACGACGGCCATTTGTTACGGACAGCTGTTTGGTTGTTATTTTTTCATTATCTTCTCTCATCATTTGCTGGATTCTTTGGAGGTTTTCTCTCACGGCCGGTTTACTGCGTCTTCTCTTACGGGCATCCTCGTTTCGAATCCGCCTCCTTGACAACACGCCATTCTTCTTCCATGCTGGACACATACAACACCAATTGAAAGGCCATCGTGATACGGGGACGTGCCCGGTAGCCGTCCAGAATGTCTTTTCCCGTCGCGCTACAGTCGGCCATCTTCTACCTGCTTGCCTGCACACCATGCGCCGAGATACGGCATCGGGCCAAGGCCAAGGACCAGGCCAAGAAGGAGAGGGTGGAAAAGGCAAAATTAGAGACGACGCAGCCTGGCCTATATCGACACCCGTCACCGTTCAACACCAATCCTTACTGGGCAGAAGAGATCAACATGGGACCCAGTCTGCCGAAGAAGTCGACGAGCAAAAACTCTAGTCAACGGGGCCTGATGAGCGCGGGAGGTGAAATCAGTGCTCTTAGCCTATCAGGGCGTACGAATACCGGCGACAGTCACACCAATTACGAAGACAGCACGCTGGTGGTATCACAAGATGGCATCTTGTCCGACGACTGGAACAGCCGACATGGATATCAGCGCGAGGATGAGGAGCTCTGGGGTGCAGACTGGTCTGGCCACAAGCTCAAGGATGCCTTTTCCAAGGCGAGAGATTCTGCGGGGCGGTTGATCGAGTCAACACTGGGTATGGACAAGGAGGTAACAGAGCAAGAGCGCCGCGCCTTTTATGCGGCCCCGCGAAACCCCCCCGTCAACGAATTACACCCGCCCGTCGTTAGCAGCAAGCTTCCCCACAAGGAGGCTCACAAATGGATGCTTCAACCGCCGCCGTCAGCCAAGGTCATGGAGGGCAAGGTGCCCGTCAGCAGAGCCATGAGCTCCAGCAGTAGAACAAGCGGGAGGACCATTGCGGGAGGAGAGGAGAAACTGGCTCGCCAACTCCAGGAGAAGCTGGTCAGGGAGAGGATCATGAAGGAGATGCCTACCGAATCCGAGCTCATCGACTCTTTGTTCGTTACCAGAACTCGGAGCACCCGGTCCGACATGACAAGGACCCGCAGCCTGTCCTTTGACGGCTCAGACGAGGTCTTGGACGGCAGCAACAACTCTTTCGAAAGGCGGAGGCGAAGCAACCGCCTAAGGGCCTTGGCTACCCCTCCCGGATATGAAGAATCTGAGGATGAGTACGAAGACATCTTTTCATCACGAATTACCAAGAGCAACAGCCACTCCAGCCAGCCTGGGCACGCGGCCCAGCGACCAAAGCTGGAAACCATAAACAGCAGCGAAGGCAGCAACGGCCGTTCGCGATCCAAGAGGTCAAGACGGCAGAAGTCTACCAGGTCGAAGAAGACTCTCTCCGGAGCAGGGTCACCTGTTGGAGACGACTCTGATTAAAAGACGCACCATGTGAAGCGTTCTTTGTATTAAAGCACCGAAACTTGTTGCCGCACACGTCGGCTCCATGATTGCTTTCTGTCTTTGTTTTTTGCTTTGTCTGTCACTTTGACATTTGTTTTATCCTGTCGATTTTTTTTCCATCATCATTTTTTTCGTTTCTGTTCAAGCATAGCACAAACACGGGCGCTGGGGGAGGCATGCTTTGGGTAGCCTTTGGGTTGGTTCTGCCTTTTTTATCCCGGTGCGTGTTTAAAAAGGCATGGCGTATTGGCTTTCGATTTTTTTTGGTGTACTTGTAGCAAAGATAAAAGAGAGGCAACCTTGGAGTATTCTTATAGCCTAGAGGTGCAGTGCTAGCTTTGCACAAAACAAGACAAACATTGGATTTTTTTCCACACACACACGTCTCTGCTTTCTTGTTCCTGCTTCTAATGGAAGTTGTCTTATGTGCTCACGACTCGCCCTCACCAGACTGTACTGCTTCGTGATGATTTATGTAGAAACTGATATTTTGCCTAATAAGGGGGGTATATCGTCGGAGACGGGTGTCCATCAACCCAATAAGGATTCCAAAACGCCAAACCATGTAGTTCCACCGCTGTTCCTTTTTTCTTTTTGCCTGCCTTTCCCGCGCCATGTCATATGTTCATCACAGATGCAAACCATCCTCTTCAGCGTCATCGTGGCCATCTTGCCTTTCTGTCCCTTGCGCCGATGTGGTCTGCCCTTCCGGCTGGCTATCGAACCGCACCTGGCCGTTGGCTATCGTGCCCGTCTGGAACGTGCCGTCCGTCCACGCCGAGTGCCTCGTCGTCTCTGCCGGCTGGTTGTCGTTCGCAACGTCTCCATTGGTCAGGGCCTCGCCCGCCTCGACCTCGTCCTGGCTCTGGAACTCGGTCCAGCTGACGCCGCGGTCCTCGACCTCTGCGCGGACGATGGCCAGGCGCTCGGCCATGCGGTCGATGACGACCTCGTTCTCCTTGATGGCGTCGATGCAGTCCTGGTCGGGGGCGGCGGGCTCGCCCAGCGCGGCGGAGGTGCCGTCGGCAAAGGGCTTGAGCTGGTCGTTTGAGTATTGGAGGTGGGCGATGGAGTTGCGGATTTCGAGGACCTTGAGGTGGAGCATGCCGAGGGAGAGGTCTTTGATGGCGGAGGCGAAGCGCGCGGGGGATATGGGGGTTGTGTCTGCGGACATTGTTGAGAGTTGAGATTGGAGGTTTTGTTTGTTTGAGTGGGTGAGTGCCGGAATGGGTGAGAGCTGCCAAGCACAGTGGAGAGAGTAAAGCATTGGATGTAAAGTTGAGGGTATCATGGAGGGGCAGCTGTAGCAGTAGAGACGGGACGTCAGTTGTAGTGGGGTTTAGACAGCTGCAGACACTGACGCTACTCCGTAATCAGCTTCCAGCTCATTCTACTACTACTGTACCTGGACCCCCCACGCTGAGACTGCAACAAGATTCAACATTTAATGCGTGTATGCGTAAGTGATGAAGGAGCTTATGGAGAGCATCAATTATACATTGATGTAACCTCATCAAGTAAGTTCTAAACTGCCATTTTTATTATATACCCATCTAACAGAAAAGCAAAAAGGAAATGAAAAGAGAATTAAAAAGGAAACTCTGGTCAAATTCTAATTTACATGTTAAAGCACAGCTTTAATACTTGCCCCCTTTGAAACACACACTTGAGCATTGGCTGACCGAACACTTTTTACAGCAACACGGCAGCGCCCTGTGTGCTCTTGCTCGCGCCGAGCCCCTTGATTTGGAAATGCTGAATCTGCTTCTTGCTCCTGGCATCCATCACGGTTACCGCGGGCAAAGTAGTTCCGTTGCCAGGGCTCAGGGCGTAGATGAAGCTGCCAGCAGCTCGCAGATCAATCAAGCCGGGGTCGCCGTTGGCACTGAAATCGGTGACGGACTTGATGCTAGCATCGGTGGTAGAAACCTCGACAATGCGGTTGGAGCCGACGTCGGTCACAAAGGCAGTGTTTGTGTCGGGAGAAATGGCAACCCAGCATGTAGCGCTCTGGCCCTCAATGGTGGCCTTGCCCTTGATGCTCGCGGCGCCGGTCTCGGCATCGACAGACAGAACAGCGGCGCCGAATGCCGGATCGGTCACGAAAATGTCCGTGGATCCCTGGATGGTGGATGAACCGAAGAGGACGACGGTTCCGTCCACCTTGGTCAGCATTCCATCCGTGGCGACGGTGGCAGCATCACGGGCATCGCAAGGCTGATCAACGGGGAAGAAACCCAGCGTTCCCGTAACATTGGTCGTGGGGTCACCCTTGACAGTGGTGAGGAGCGTCTCTTCATCCCCGGAGAAGAACACCTGGGAGACGGTGAGGGTGGGCCCAACAGGCGGCGTTGTTTGCTTCAAGCCAACCGGCCGGAGCTGGTCCATCTTGCCGATTCCACGGGCGGAGAAGGGGGCGCAGGCAATGCCGGACTTTGCTCCGGATGACCCAACACACACAATCTGGTTCTTGGCCGATGCCGCAACGGTGTTGGGGAAGTCACCGAGGACAGGGACCGGCTGACCGAGCATGGTGAGCCTCAATGGGTTCTTAGGGTCGATGGCGAACATGGCGACCGTGTTGGAACCGGGGTTGACGGCAAACAGATACTACATGGCAGAGTGAAGAGTTAGCTGAATTCTTTGGCCATGATGGATACGGGCTGACTTACGTTGCCAGAGATGGTCAAGGCCGCCTGAGAAGCCAGAGCATCAGGGCCGGCAATCTCCTTCTTGTTATTGGTGATGGTCACAAAGTTGGAGCCGGTGCCGCCAGTTGAGGTGCTGGTTCCCTGGCCCAGCAATCCGTTGCTGTTGATAGGCAGAGCAATCACGCTGTTGTGCGCGCCATTGCTAATCATGTAGAGCGCCTTGCCGGGCTTTGGTGGCGGAGGGCAAGTCGACGGCCTAGCTGAAGCTTCAGGCACCAGATTTGCCAGTCCAAGCAAAAACAAGGATGTCCACGTGGAAGTATGCATGGTGGAAGTTGGGAATACGTAAAAAGGTGGTCAGATCAGGTAGTTTTGATGACAATATCAGAGGTGGCAATGGATAAGCGGTTGTCACAGACAAGCCGCGAATGAGAAGTTGCGATTGATTGGATGAATTGAGTTTGAAAGATGAGAGTGATGTGGTTGAGAACTGAATTGAGTCGTTGAGCAGGCTTCACCACTTCTACTTATACATGCCATTTTCCACGATTGCCTCCTGTCTGGCCCATTCCCACAACATGCCGCGTTTCCGACAACCCGCTCCTCGTGCAAAAGCAATTTCTTGTCTCATTTGCGAAAAAGCACGCGCTGCTGGGGAACCCGTAACGGCTATTGATCTTTGGAAACCGACTTTTGCCTGTAGGTGAACTCCTCATGAGGAATCTTTTCGCAACTCGTATGAAGGCCGTGAGAAGCGCGATAATCAGAATTGCCTATTTGGGGAAAACGCCAACGGGGATACGGGGGTACCCGCGTAGCGCAGGATCCCGCGGTGAAGCAGCGTGAGCGAGTAAGGAGAGTTTGCGTTGCCTATTTGGGAAACGCTTACGGAGCAATAGCGAAGCAAGGACGTTGGATCTGCGACAAGGAGGATTGGACATGATACGACAAAGAAGCGTATTGAAACATGAGGGTTGTACTCCGTAGGTTGGTATGGGATTGGGGGAGCATTGATGTCTCTTTACAAGGTGGCCAGTCAATTTTAAGCCTAGATTATGCTAATTGTAACTCTAATTTGCTTGGGAGAAGGGACAGAAGAAGCTTCATCTCCAATCACCGTAACTGTTTCACCGCAGCAAAAAGGTCCAAACGCATGCTGATTAAGTCAATGTGCCTGAATTATCGGTTAGTATAAGCCGTGATGGAGGCCAATGGTGCACGCACGGCACTGCTTAGCCTATTTCGGAAATACTAAGATGCCCCCCCTGATGTCACTCGCAACCTCGAGAATACCTAGGAACGACAAAGGTCTAGACTAGACATTTGCGTATCTCAGCCTCTCATCATCCAATTAGGCATTGACAAGCAACCCAATTCCCTCCATAATTATCGTAATGGCCGACCGAATATTCCGCATCTTTAACCCGGGAGGTTGGTCCGACCCCGGGGCACTCTCATCAGCCCATTCCCATCCCATCTGACTAGTAATGGGCAAATGGCCAAGTTCCTGGCTTGCTGACCCTGGAGCAAACAGAACCAAAGGGTGATCCCGTTGAGAAGAGGCGCGCCCAGCTGCGACGTGCCCAACAGTGAGCGCCTTTGCCCCTGTATTTCTTTGGATTTGGATTTGGATTCGGATTTGGATTCCAGCCGCTGACCAACAGATCTTATCGAGATCGCAAGGACAAGTACACCAAGGCGCTCGAGGCCGAACTAGCACGGTCTCGGAAGAGCGAGGCGGGCTTGACGTCCCAGATCGAGCAGCTTCGTGCCAAAGTTCACAAACTGGCCACTCTCTTGTCCCAAAATGGCATCTCACTTCCTTTGGATTTTGACGATGAGGGAGACGTTCATGATGATGTATCGCGTATAGATGCGTCTCCGCTCGCAACGCGTGGACAACCGCTACCGGCTGATGGCTTCCTATCGAGTACAGATTCAACCTCTCCAGAGTCGACGACGGACCATGGCGTTATTTTCAACAGTGGAAATCGTACTTTACGGCAGTACGGTTCGAGGATCTTTGCCCGACATCATGAACCCCAAGTTCCAGCGCCAACGAGATTCGCGGGTACCATCACCCAAGATGAGCCTGGTGACAGAACTCGCCTTGCTGAACTTGACGCCACACAGGTCGGAATGGAATTCGTGCTCACGTATGCTATCTACATCTCACAGGATAGCGAAAGAAGACGCTGACCAAAGTATGATGCAGGCTAGAAAGGCCTTGTCTAAACCATCTACACGGAAATCCCAAAAAGCCCCTGGAACCACACGGCCATGCTTTGACCACTACAGTCCAGCTTCAGGCCTCCTTGTCACTTCCTCCGATCGATCCAAGAAACCCTGTGCCTCCGTCATACCAAAATGCTCCCGCAGCCGTGCTCGATCGTCTATTGAATCTTGCCCCGAGTGTATCCCCAGACGGCGACGTGACGCCGATACAAGCGTGGCATTTTATCCGGCGCCAACCGCAATTTGGGGGTTTCGAGGTGCAGCGCCTCAACAGGCTGGCGGAGAGGCTACGAGAAGCAGCAAAGTGTCACGGGTTAGTTGACGAACATTGAAGGCACTTCTTGGGAGATTGGAGCTAACGAGTGTGAGTGTTTATAGGTTTGGTGCTGCTGTTCAGACAGGCATCTTTGAATCCGCTGTACGGGAAATACTCCAACCCTTGGCTATAACAGCGGCTTGATATATGCGTGTCAAACGGAGCTACCTAATCTATCTACCTTTGCTTTCTTTCTTTCTTTCTTTCTAACTCTAAGAAACATGATTTACCCAAGTATCCCATAGAAGGGTCACTGGTAATGATACATGGAAGACGACCCTCACTAGAACGAAGCAATATGACTGCATAGAAGCGTCATTTCAAACGTGTACAGTTCAAGTTTAGTACTCGAGATGAGAAATAATAGATATTTTAATATCATTCTTCATGATTTTATTTGATTCATTCTGTTGTGCAGAGTGCCCGATGCGAACTAGAGGCAAACGCTCTACGAGGCAACTTTGGGCCTCCAATTGGTGCACAGCAGTCCGTGCGAATTTCATCATACAGGCAAACAAAAGTGGTGTTTCAGCAATTGCAGCCGTCACCGGGTATAGACGCTCTCAAGAAACAAACTAGGAAAAAAAAACAATGACGCAAAACAAAGCCTACTTTCAAAACGTCCCACATGTTGAGAGAACCTCAGACTTGAACCCTTCAAAGACTGCGCCGCTGCCTCCAGCCCTGCCGGATTAACGACCATGTCTTTAAACCCTCTCACTGTCTTATGATGCGAAGCTTGTCATCAACCTTCAGACTGCGCCGCTGCCTCCGACCCTGTCAGATTTACGACCATGCCTAGGAAGGTGATGCATAAGTGGCATCAAAGAACTAGAAAGGTAGTCAGTTCATATCAGGGGAAAGAAAGCTGCCCGCTGCCCCCAGCCCTGCCAGGTTAACGGGTATGCTGCTCCCCCAATCCAACTGGTGCTCGAGTCTCAAGGTCCTCTCTCAACATGTGATATTCATCTTGACGATGCCGTGATTGAGCAAGCCCTGCCATTGCTGTCCAAGAACCACATCGTAGATTCTGCATTTCTCCTAGATGACCGTCTTGCGACAGCAGGCTCCTCAGCCACAGGTGTGGTCTTGGGTTTCCGGTTCCGAGGCTGTCGCTGTCGCTTCTCGGGCTTGCCTTTGTCCTCTTTCTTCTCTTTGTTTTTGTTCTTCCTGCGTGTTTGACGCCGCGCTTTTGGTTTTTCTACATCGCGTTGCTCGCTTGTGCGTCGGCGTGAAACTCGACCAGTGTTTGTCGTCGGTGTAATGACGCGTGAAACAGTTGGCACTTCCGCGACAACGGGGGCTGGTGAATCTGGCGAAGTCGGTGACTCTTGTAGAATAGAGACGTCAATGGGCGTGGAATTGAGTTGCGTATTGCCAACATTTGCCTCCTCATCGGATAGCTCTGGGGTAGGAAACCGTTCTTGGCTTCGATCTTGGTATGCTGGGATAGTCCTTGGCGGTGTGTATTCTTCATCTCGTTCTGGCACGGACTCCTCTGGGTCTTCCAATTCTGGTTCTTGACCTGGTAAGTGCCATGACTTTCGGCCTATCGCATAGTGCATCTTTCCACATGAACAGCCCAGGTAACCAGCCCCTATAAGTCTCATACTTTCCCGCCACCGCCTGGACCTCTCGGTCAAGTCTGTCGGCTCCCAGTATATGTGCGCCTGTGCTTCTGGATTATCGTCATGCAACACCCACTGGTAACCGGGGGTAGGCGACCGCCGTGTCGGGTTGGTCGGACTCTGTGTCCTGATCCGTTTCGTGTCGGACCCCGCATCCCATTCGTCTTCGCCCTCACTCGAGGTGTCATCTAATATCTTGCGTTTCTCGGGTCTTTGCGAAGTTGAAGGCAGTGGTGATGATGGCAAGGAGCAAGAGGAGGAGGATGCTGCATCGGTGCTGTGTGTCTGAAGACGCGGTGATTCGATCGGCTGATCCAACTTGGCCTTCTTGCGCGGCGGAGTCACGCTTCCCGCAGATTTTCTCTTTGCCATTTTTTCTAAAACAAGATAGTAGGGTGATTAAATCAAGTCCTGCAGTTGTTGCGGTGAGAATGTTCGCTGCCCTTGTCAGAGTAGGTCGGGCTGCTGCCTGATGAGGAGTTGCATATCGCGTATCACGTGACTCACATCACAGACAGCACCTCCATGGATCGTGAATATAAAGATACGTATAAAGACATTACTCCGTCACTACTCCATAAATTACCTTGTTGTATGTCCCATCTCATGAAGTGAAGCCGTGCAATGGCGACCGCTACCAATGTCTCATCAGGTGATATCCCTTTCGCCACTTTCTCTGCTGCCAACGATGCTGCCATCCTCCTGCTTGAGCTCATCCAGGCCACCGCTTCACCGCCAAATCTCGTGAATGATGGAAATTCCATCGGATTTCAACTGTGGCTTCCATCTTTAACCAATACGCCTCATTCAGAAGGCTCTGGCACTGATTCTGATACCAGCTCCAACACTGGCTTGGAAAATAATTGTACTTCTTGGGAGATTGGTGCCGGTACACCGCCGGCCATGGTGGGCAAAGGGTTGGGTCGCAAGAATCCACCCATTCTTCTTTGCCCTCCAGGTGAAACACCAGGCTCCAAGGCTGTTCGTAAATTCATAAAGGATTTCCATGCCACTGTTTACATCCATGAGGAATCAGGTGTATTCCTGCTTAAAACACTTTGTGATCGACCAGTCATCTACGAACAAGGCGACATGTACGGCAATGACTTGAAGCTTGGTTTAGATGAATGGGGTGAGGGTATGACGTGCGTCTTGCGGAGAGAGCGCAACTACATTCATATCGGTCAATATCGCTTTCTTATTAAATTTGCGACACAAACTCGAGAGACCTACCGCAACTTTACTACGCAAATGAACGACAATTTGAAGAGTGAATACCATAGTCTAGTCCCCTCACGTTTGTTCAATTTCATTCCGGTTTCTTCTCCATACAATAAGAGGGAATGGAACGTATGGTTCCATCGCCAAATCCCAACAGCTGACATCACCGCCGGCGTCAACATTCACACTGGACGGCCGGTTGCGATCAAAACGGTGCGCAACAGGGATATCATCCATGCGCGCCAACATATTGTCAGCCAACTGCAGATGGCACTCCAGAGCAACGGCAGGCAAGATAGCGGCATCCTTGGCATTATCGATGTGTGGTGTGATCACCATACTTCTCCCTGCCTATTCGACATGCATGATCGTGATCTGCTGGCGAGGTGTTCTCATACCCGTTATTCGATGCCACTGGCCTCGCATAATTTCTTGGATCTTCCTTGGTCAAAATTGGGAACCGAAATGCGACTGTTCTATTTCCATCAGACCTTGTTAGGCCTCGCTCAGATTCATGAGCAAGATCTTGCTCATGGGAATATCCGACCCGGGTCACTCCTCATATTAGGCGACGCAACGCACAAATTACGCCTAAATCCTAAAAGTCCTGCGAAAAATAAAGCTGTCATATCCCTCTCCATGAGCCGGGTAGAGAAGAAGATGTTTGACGCGACAAGAATTTGCGTCGCACCTGAAGTATGGCAGAACCAAGAGGCCACAAGAGATCTGGATAAGACAAAACTCGACATCTGGGCATTAGCCTCCTCGTGGCTGTACGCATTTGCCAAACCAAATGATAGCAAAATAGCAACAGAGAATAATCATCGGTGGCTCCAGAATCGAGTGGATGGAACCTTCAAATCAAACCCTGATCTGGCGCTTTTTGGCAGTCTTTTGAGCAAAATGTTGGCCTGGAAGCCACAAGATCGACCAACTGCTGCCGAAGCTCTTGCAAGCGACGCCTGGCAGCTTGTTTGGGCCGAGAAGGAAAAAGAGAAGGGCAAGAAAGAGCAGAAGCGGAAGGCCAAAATGCAATTGGACGGGGCCAAGAGAGTTAGGGTGCTCTCACCTGGGGAAGAAGATTACAAGATCTTTGAGTCGTAACTGTTTTATATTCGTGGCAATCCCTCAACCCTTGCAGATGCTTTATACTTGTATGTGTCAGGGCCATGTAATCTGTTGGCTTGTGTCCTTCTCTTATCTGCTATAATGCCGTTTTAACGATACCCTAGCTCCATGGGCTTGATTTTCACAATGTAATATAACAATTCCCACAATGTTTTTACGAACAAAAGCCATGTCTCACACTCATCAACTGAGGGTTTATGGTAGTCTCACTTAGCTTCAGCCGTTATGAAGCATTAACCTAACGTGATGTATAACAGCGAAAACAACAGCCAACTCGATTGAAAGACAACATATCATGTTCTCATGATCTCTACTGAATATTAATATCAGTATTACAAGGCTAAATTCAAATGTAGAATTTTTCTACTCACTCATAAACGTGCGCTGTCATGACCTATTACGAGGATCCCGCAGCATCAAGCGTGCTGACTAATCACCACTACACCCATATTTTCATTCAACGCGTCTCACTCAGTGTCGGCCGCGTCTAGTTTCAATGCTTCATTCCGGCGGGGCAGCCAAGCTCATTATAATGTATTCTCCTCCGTATCGCCATCACTGACCATTTCTTCGGCCTGTGACTGCGGTCACGTAGGGCAATGCTGCCTAATTTTTATATATATTTTTCTGTTACCAACTCACAGCGCTGCCATGGTCAAGTTCTCTGTCCCAACCAAGGCCAGGCTGCCTTCTTCACTGCGCGTTGATTCCTCAAACCCAGCCGTCATAAAGAGCCTGGGCCGACTCTCCCGCGAAGCTCTCATTTCCCTGGCCATCAGCTGGCTTGATGAAGATACCATAGTCAACGCAGTGCCGTATCTGGAACGAAGGGATGACGAAGATGAAATCGATCCAGATGATATTTACCCCCCGTGTGGGTCGGTCCAGGAGCTGTACGAGCTGTATGTCGAGATGCAGCAGCAAAAGGGATCCAAGCGCGACGTGGCCAATCGCATACTGGAAGGCGATTGGAGACACGGACTGTCACTGTATCAACTAGCCATGGTCGACTTTTACTATCTGGAGGAGCATCCAATGTCACAGAAATGGACGGCTTACAAAATACTCCCGTTGAAACCCCCTACCAAAGATGCCGACGACGAAATCCTTCAAGTTGACGATAAGGCGTTGAATGTCCCCCGTTTCCATCCTTCGACGTTTCTTCAGAGCCTTCAGGACCAAGTCTTGCCGGATATCAAGGCTCATTACCAATTCTATCGACCAAAAGACCTCTCAGTTCTGCTGTTGCGCATATTCGTCATTGAATCTCCCTACAACAGTAGCATGGCCCTGTCCGGCGTCACCGGCAGTGGAGGTGCCACCAACTTTACTTCGTCGCGGACGGTGTACCTAGCATTTCCGGATGGCTCCTCCCACATTTACATCACCAAATCTCAAGCCAACGGCCCGGCTCCTGCAGGCGAATCGAAAAGCCTCCAGAATCTGATTATTCACGGCGTCCCAAAAGCATTGTCTAGGCCAAGAGAACGATACTCCCTAAAGCCAACGAGTCTTACGAGCAGAAACCTGGAAACTCTCCTGGACAAAAGGGGACCTGGGCGGGGAAATGCAGCAGGAGGTGGTTGGAGCATATATGCCTCTGACAAGAACAAAAAGTCACCCCTCGATGCCATTCTTCCTAGCCCTCCGCTTTCCAGAGACTCCTCCCTTGCTGACCAGAACCGCAAGAGGTTGAAACCGCTGAATTCAGATCAGCGGTCTGCTAAACGAGCCAGGCTGGTTGCCCAAGCGCGGTTTGGTGATTCCGGCCTAATGGCTGATGGGAAAGGGATTGAAAGGGTCGACGTTCTAATCAAAGATCCATTCCCGACACCTTCTGCTGTGGAGAATCAAGCATCAGAAGAAGACCAGGCAACCGCTCCAAGCGAGACTTCAGTTTCAGCTCGGAGAAGGACGATTGATGCTGTGCTTCGTCAGGCTGCTGATGGCGATGACGAAGAATTGAATGAGCCAGGAAATCCTTCACAGTGGCGCCCGACGGTGCAAATCACGTTTCAAGGGAATCATGTTTTTGCTGGTATCCGACAACTTGTTGAAGCCGGCATTGTGGATGGCGAGCGCATGCCCGGTTGGATGACAGGCGAAGATGGCGTTACTGTGGGCGTTGTAAAGCATGGACGGATACGGGGCAATAAGGGATCGGGGCTGTGATGAGATGTCCGGCATGTTTCTTGGTTTTGGATATACTGTATACTGTTCTTTCTATGCGCTTGATACCCTTACGATGAACCATAACGACTCTAATTTGTCTCGCCGAGGCCAAACACGCTCACGGTGTTTCTCCACGATGCCTCGCAAAGTTCTTCTATGCTCACGCCCTTGACGGCAGCGACGATTTTGGCAACCCGCTCAATAGTACACGGCTCGTTGCGGCCTTTGATCATGGCCCCTTGCTGCCACTGCTCCTTTTTCACTACCTTGAACCTGTTTGGCACATCAGGCTCCTTCTTTTGGTTCTTCTGCTTCTTCGGCCGCCTTGTCTGCTGCTGTGTGGCTGCATCGGCTGGTTGAGGCTCGCCATTTGTCGCTGGCTGTTCCGGCTCGGGCTTCTTCTCTATCAGATACTGGTATCCAGCATGGCTGGGTCGTACCTCGCACCAAGGACCGTCTGTTTCAAGCATGATCCTGTCAAGGGTAATCTCCTTCACCATGGTAAGGTTCTCTTCCGTTTTGAGACTGCAGCCATTGACACCAATATGCAGGCCTAGGTCCATCAGCTCCTTCATCTCCTCTATGGTACCCGTGAAGCTGTGTACTACGCCGCCCTTCTCCAATCTCTCGAGCTTGTCACCGAAAGCTCCTTTCAACAGGTCTACAAAGTCGCGATGGGCGGCTCTAGAGTGAAGAAACAGTGGTAGCTGGGGCTGAAGAGAGGCGGCGACCTTGAGCTGAGCTTCAAATGAGTGTAACTGAGCGGCCTTGCTGCAAAAGTTCAGCCGGTCGTAATCAAGCCCAAACTCTCCTAGGGCGACGAGATGATGCTTGCTAGAGGCCGTAGCGTCGGCAAGCAGGGTCTCGAATTCGGCAATCACCTTTGCAGATGTTTCCGAGTCGGGTTCACCTCGGTGCTCTGTTGATTCCGGGTCTTCGGGCTCACAAGGGGCCACATGTTCTTCATGCCTACCATGGCCTCCTTTGCAAAATATAGCACTGCTACATGGGTGGATGCCAGCAGTACCAAAGCATGTTCCAGCTACATGTACTCGTTCAGCATGTGATTGTCTTTATGGGAGAAGGGTTTACCGACGGAATTCCTTTGCCAGCTCCAAGGCATCACGAGCGCTTGTGAAATCAGAGCCCGTCACAATGAGCTTAGTGCAGCCCACTTCCTTGGCTCTGCTGATGACATCCTTGAGATCGTCTGGGTGGCGCTGAGTGCCGTGATGTTTACCCCTGAAGATGGGATCGGCTAGATTGATTCCTATCTTCACCAGCTACGCATCAGCAATCCCAGAGAGTTGTATCGTGACGAAAAGTCCATGGGGGATGAAATACATCGATATATCTGGGCTTATAGGTCTCTGATGCCGGCTCAGAGTTGGGCTGCGGGGCACTCATTGTGGAAAAGAGTGAGAAACGAGAGATGGCAGCAGCAGTGTAGTGGCGTGGCAGATGATGGCGGACTCTCCCCAGGATCATAGACATATATACAGAACAATTGCGTATAGGAAGCTGTATCAACCCTCGTCTTGCTTCCTACTGCAGATGTTGGTACCTAGTACATGTAGTCACAGCACTGGCAAAATGGCATCTCGAAAGCTGCTTAGTAAGTTCAAGAGAAATCCATTTACACCACCACTCACACGCACGTGACCCCGCGACAGCTCCGACAAACTCGATGACCGAGACGCGCGCCCGGGATTCGCGTATCCACCAAAACAGAGATGCTTAGGTACAATTCACGGATGGATGATTAATTAATCGATCCCAGAAACTTAGCATTTGTTGTGAGCCCGATCAGGCTTAAGGAGCCCGAATGAGGCAGTGATTGTTGGGTCTCTCGGCGTCGCTCTCGCCCTTGACTGGCCACTTCACTGGAATGGTGCTTGCCGCGGGGCATCTTTTTTTTTTTTAATGAGTTTCACAGCGTGCCACCAGTATTTTTCACGCTAACTGCTGGCGTGGCGCGTGCTGGAGACGCGCCTTAGAATAAAACCGTCTCCCGCCGTCTGGAGGCCAAACTTGACTCTTCTCTTCCCAAAAACAAAGCAAACGCAACTCAAGGCCTCGATTCATCTTGAACGCCCTCAAAGCTCTGTCCGGCTGCCTGAGTGTCTTGACTGATACTTGCAAGCGTCTGAGAGCCTTGAACCATCACCTACGTCATTCTTTTGTCCAATATATCCCCCCCGCCGTCCTCTCTTTTCCGCCATCCCACGCCGCCACCATGTATGTGAGGAAGCGTGGTATGTATCCCACTGTTGATTTAAATTAAGCCCTATCAGTATTTCTAATCCATGGATAGACGGTCGTCAGGAGCGTGTTCAGTTCGACAAGATCACGGCTCGTGTCTCTCGGCTGTGTTACGGCCTGGACACTGACCATGTCGACCCTGTAGCCATTACCCAGAAGGTCATTTCTGGTGTCTATGGAGGTGTCACGACAGTGCAGCTTGACGATCTCGTAAGTCAGCCATCTCTTGTAATGCCAATCTGCAGCCGTTAACGTGTAGACCAGGCTGCCGAAACTGCCGCGTACATGACTGTTACCCATCCCGACTATGCCATCCTTGCCGCCCGCATCGCCGTCTCCAACCTCCACAAACAAACCAAGAAGCAGTGGTCAGCTGTTGTCAGCGACCTGTACCACTATGTCAACCCAAAGAACAACAGGGCCTCGCCCATGATCTCCAAAGACACATACGAGTGTGTCATGCGGCACAAGGAGGAGCTCGACTCCGCCATTGTCTACGATCGAGACTTCAACTACCAATACTTTGGCTTCAAGACTTTGGAACGGTCATACCTTCTGAAGCTTGATGGCAAGATTGTTGAGCGGCCACAGCACATGATTATGCGAGTGTCTGTTGGCATCTGGGGAGACGACATTGAGCGTGTCCTGGAGACATACAACCTCATGTCTAGCAAGTTCTTCACCCATGCCTCCCCCACCCTGTTCAACGCCGGTACCCCGCAGGCCCAGCTGTCCTCATGCTTCTTGGTCGACATGAAGGACGATAGCATCGAGGGTATCTATGACACTCTGAAGACATGTGCCATGATTTCCAAGATGGCTGGTGGTATCGGCTTGAACGCCCACCGCATCCGTGCCACCGGCTCTTACATTGCCGGCACCAACGGTACCTCTAACGGTATTATTCCCATGCTTCGCGTGTTCAACAACACTGCCAGATATGTCGATCAGGGTGGTAACAAGCGTCCTGGTGCTTTTGCCATCTACCTCGAGCCCTGGCACGCCGACGTCTTTGAGTTCCTTGATCTCCGCAAGAACCACGGCAAGGAAGAGGTCCGCGCTCGCGACTTGTTCCTTGCTCTCTGGATTCCCGACCTCTTCATGAAGCGTGTTGAGAAGAACTTGGACTGGACGCTCATGTGCCCCAACGAATGCCCTGGCCTTGCTGACTGCTATGGTGAGGAATTCGAGGCCTTGTATGAGAAGTACGAGAAGGAGGGACGTGGTCGCAAGACCATCCGCGCTCAGAAGCTGTGGTATTCCATCCTGGAAGCCCAGACCGAGACTGGTAACCCCTTCATGCTCTACAAGGATGCCTGCAACCGCAAGAGCAACCAAAAGAACCTGGGAACCATCCGCAGCTCCAACCTCTGCACTGAGATCATCGAGTACTGTGCCCCAGATGAGGTCGCTGTTTGCAACTTGGCCTCTTTGGCCCTCCCTGCTTATGTCGACTACAACGAAGGCTGCTATGACTTTAAGAAGCTCCATGAAGTCACCAAGGTGGTTGTCCGCAACCTCAACAAGATCATTGATGTCAACCACTACCCTGTCCAGGAGGCCCGTAACAGCAACATGCGTCACCGACCTATTGGTGTTGGTGTCCAGGGTCTTGCCGACGCTTTCCTTGCCCTGCGCATGCCCTTTGAGTCTCCCGAGGCTCGCGAGCTGAACAAGCAGATCTTTGAGACAATCTACCACGCGGCCCTGGAGGCTTCTATGGAGATCGCCAAGGTGGAGGGTCACTACGAATCGTTCAAGGGATCACCTGCATCCGAGGGTATCCTCCAGTTTGACATGTGGAATGTCAAGCCCTCCGACCTTTGGGAGTGGGACTCGCTCAAGGAGCAGATCAAGGAGCACGGTGTGCGCAACAGCTTGCTCGTCGCCCCCATGCCAACTGCCAGTACGTCCCAGATCCTGGGCAACAACGAGTGCTTCGAGCCCTACACTTCCAATATCTATCAGCGACGTGTCCTTGCCGGCGAGTTCCAGGTTGTCAACCCCTGGCTCCTCAAGGACCTGGTCGACACCGGCCTCTGGTCTGATGCCATGAAGAACCGCATCATTGCTGAGAACGGCTCCATTCAGAACATTCCCAACATCCCCGAGGATATCAAGGCCTTGTACAAGACCGTTTGGGAGATTTCTCAGCGCCAAATTGTCCAGATGGCGGCTGATCGTGGTGCTTTCATTGATCAGTCCCAGTCCCTGAACATCCACATGAAGGACCCCACAATGGGCAAGATTACCAGCATGCACTTCACTGGCTGGAAGCTTGGTCTCAAGACCGGCATGTACTACCTGCGCACTCAGGCCGCAGCTGCTCCCATTCAATTCACCGTTGATCAGGAGGCTCTTAAGATTGCCGATGCCACCGTCAGCAAAGACCGTGTCCTGAAGAAGCGCGCCCCCCCTGCAGGATCTTCTTACATGATGTCCTCCCCATCTGCCGTCCCTCGCCCTGCCAGTGCAAAGAGGGAGGGAGACTCTGGCAACTCGCTGAGCTCCAACGGCGTTCCCACTCCCACTACCACACCTCCCCCCGCCGTGAGCAGGCCTCTGGCATCTCCTCACAAGGCCCCTCCTATGAAGGCGGATGTTGATGAAGGAGATAGCCCCAAGGTTCTCCCCACTGAGCCCTTGGACGCTGTCAATGATGAGGAGCTGAGCAAGAAGCCTAACCAGTCCGAGGACAAGGACGAGGATAACGAGGAGCGCGAAAGGGACATTTACTCGGACGCTGTTCTAGCCTGTAAGTTGCACTGACTCCAAGAAAACAAACTTACTTGACATGGTACTAACTTTTCTTCTAGGCAGCATTGAAAACCCCGAGGCCTGTGTTATGTGCAGTGGCTAGAGGAGTTTCAAGCTGAGGAATGTCGGCGACGATTGGTGAGATTGGTATGACGAAAGAGTTTTTAATAAAGCATAAAAAGAAACAGGCAACGGAAATGGGGATTTCATCAATGATTTAGGGTTTATTCATGATGGGTGTCGGTTCAAAGGATCTGACTGTCCGACACTGGTTTAATGCGTTTGGACTATGTATATTTTTTGTTACGTTTACTACATGTCGTTTACATGAGTATGAATGTTGCGTGCGTTTAGTTGCAGCTGTCAATAGCATAGATGCGCGAATATCAAGATGAAATAATGATATACTCTCATTGAAGTTGTGCTCATGCTAGAAGGACGTAATAGGTCATATTTGACTGATAGAAGCAAGATGATGCTGCGAATGCCTCCTCCACCTAATTGTCATCATAGTTAGGTCTGGGATGCATTGAAAAAGATGGCAAATTCTTTTGTCTAAACAATGTTTCTCTTGAAATATATACACATGCGGTTAATCAAACTTTACTGTCTAGACTGATACCGCTCGTTGATCTTACCCGCAGATGGCTTCGTTTGTCGAACCAAAACTCTGGATGAGTTACTGTCAGGAGGACCGACATGATGATCATGGGAATGGAATCCAAGGCAATAAAGATGCCTTCTTTATCTGACAGAGGGCCGTTGAAGCCTCCATTCAACTCGACCACACGCCAGCAAGAACGGATGAAAAGACAAATGGCAGCTGTTGCTACGCCTGTAGCAGAAACAAACAGAGTTAGGCTATAGTGTTTTGAGACGTGGAAAACGAGTGTTGCTCACAATATATGTAGCTAATCTTGTTATCTGTGGCAAGGTGGTGGTGTATCTTTCTGCACACCAATGCAAGGAGAATGCAGAATATGGTTGTGAACAGAACTTGAGTGGCGAGCCCTGCAATCATGAGATCAACTCCAATTGGATTCTCGGCGTAGATGGCGGCGAGCGAGCCGCCGCATCCGATGAAGCACAGACAGATGAAATCACCAAGGATAAACATGGCGGCGAAGAGTTTTGGGCTGAGTCGTGGAAACCGGGCTGCTTCGTGGTGTCTTTGCAGGGCGCTGATGCCGAGATATAGCGACGAGGAGAGGAATGTAGGGCCTAGAGTGAGGCCGATGATGTACCTATAGCAGCAGACATCCAAGATCTTGTTAGCAAAGGGAAAGACGGTAAAGGGGGGGAGATTTTGGGAGATGAGATGATACATGATGTATCCGTTCTTGTCTGCTCGGTTGTGGGAGAGTTGGACTTTGGCGATGTAGCCCACGAGCTCGAGGATGAGGCCGCCCAACATGCCGATAGCATAGCCATAGTAGCGCCAGAACCGAACGGTTAGAACGAGCTGGATAAGGAGGAGTATTGTATATATGGTGGTGAATATAGCGTTTGGTGCGAGCATTGGCGTGAAAGACAGAGCACCGATGCCATTTGGAGGGATGTGGCTGGTGTCATTTATTGTAGAGTTCATGTCTAACTGTCGAAACAACGCAGCTCAAGAAGAGGAATTGGCAAAGCAAAACACAATAAATGAACCATATATGATATTAATGAAAGCGAACAGATGATTTCACAAGAGGATTGGTTTTGTTTTATGCCACCTCAAGGCACTTATAAGACGCCCTTTGCGCACACCCTCCCGCAAAACCGCCGCCAAATCTCCGTCATATCGCCGCTCAATTCCCGCTAGTCGCCGTCAAAGCCTCAAACCCCCAGCCTATTTCAACGGCAGCTTGTGTCTTTTTCTTTCAATGATTTCACTGAATCTCCGTCTCTCAGCTGGAGCGTGTCCTTACCCCGAGCTCCCATCCCGCGGAGATTTGAATTCTGCCGACATGCGGCTGAAGCGTGGAGTCGAGCGGGCGTCCTGCGACTTCTGCCATCGGCGCAAGATCAAGTGTGATCGGTCTTCACGAGAATCACAGGGCCATGATTCTTGCTCGCCGTGTTCTTTGAGGGGGATTCAGTGTCTTCTTGACGATTCAGATGATGTTCGGCTTCGTAGACGGCGAAGAGCAACTGTTCGCGATGTGGAGCAGAGTCCATCGCTGTTGACGACAGCTACTGCCGATGCAATTGTCCAAAACTTCAATCGTCCAAGCAATAACGCTGTAACGTTGGATGAAGAAGTGGCACCAGTGTCATCACAAAGTCTGGAGCAGCCGTTGCCCTCTTATTTTCCGTCGAATATAGATGATAGCATCTCATCGTCCTTGGATCAGTCACCGGACTTTTCATTCATCGACACTCCCTTTGAACTCAGCCCAGAGAGCACCTTATTCCTTGACCAAGTTTTCTTGAGTAACTCTGCAACGCCATTGGAATACCTTCAACCGCAAACTTTGACGGATATCGATATACAATCCTCCATGGACGCGGATCTTGCTACTCAGAACAGCACAAGTGAGTCTCTTAGGGAAGCTTCAGCATTCAGTACTTCTCAAAAGCCCTGGATCGATTGCGATCTTGACGAGGCAGCGTTTTATTCAGCATTACATGCTTACTTTGATTTCGCCACTGTTCATCTTCCGGTCCTTATAGAAGATGCCTTCTGGCAAGACTACCGGAATGGGAGATGTAGCCTTGCCCTCGTTTATGCCATTGCCTGTCGAGGAATATCTTTCTCAAGTAATTTGGAAGTCTGGAACGAGCAGCAGTGCTTAGCCCTCAAATTCAGAGAGAAGTTCTTGGAAGCCCAGCAGAATTCAACCAGCAAGTCGGTCATGCGTCTTGACGACCTTGAAGCACTCGCCATCATGGTCAACTGGACATACGACGAAACACAAAGCTTGTCTCTTCACTCGCAGTTGGGAAGACTATTTCTGACGCACGAAGCCCTCGTCTTGGCCACCCTCCAATGTCAGATGCAAGATTGTGATGAAGTAGGGCAGTCAGGCCCAACAGTACCGCTGGCGCGTTCAGAAGAGCGCCGCAAACTCTTGTTTTGGCACGTGTACGGCCTCGATGCTTTCCATAACCTGGATCAGAAGACCATGTCACGAATTCCAGACGGTAAGAATAGCGAAGTCTCGTCAAAGTTGCCCCAGATTGACTCCGGGAGCTATCTCGATGCTATTCTTAGCTTAGCCATTGTTGCGAGAGAGATCTTGCAAGCTTTGGTGACGGTAGGCACAAAACGGAATGGCGTTGAATGTACTGAATTGATGAATGTTTACGACAGGCTCAGTCATTGGCAGAAACACGTCTGCCCTTCTCACCTTCGCAAGAAGAGGGATGCTGATGGCAGACTGATGCCATTGACCATAAACGAGTCAAGGAGGACCAAGTTTCTTCAGCCATTGCACTGTTCCATCCTTTGGCTTCTGGAAATCAACTGCTACATGCAGATTGAAGATTGCGTTTCGCAGTATGGTGTACAAAATGGAGCTCCTTTGGAGGGCGAGATGATGGCTCTCCGAGTGGAATTCGAGGCCCTTCGTGCCGTACATGACGGAGTGGAGATATCTCGATGGATGAGGCAATATTCAGCTTCAACGACACGTGGCGACATCATCCAGAGCCACTCTCCAATCGATCTTGCACCATCAATTGCACGAGACATTTGTGCCGGGTTATGTTTTTGGACATGTGAGCGTGGCAAGAAAGTGTTCCGCCAAGGGTCCTCAGGTCTCACCAACATTCGCCCCAGAAATCGACAACACGGAGCAAACCCTGAAAAAGACCAAAGGAAACAAGATGTCAACGACTACAGAGAAAGTGCCAAGCAATTTCGCGATGCCGTGGCAACGGCGACATCACATAGAGATACAGAATATGTTCTGGAGCGGCTGGACAAGCAGATTGCCTCGTTTGAGCAAGTCGTGGCACAGTAATTCTCGGATGGGGCATGGGGAGTGTCGACGAGATGCTTGAAATCCAGGCTTTGCATACAGCAACAGCGAGAATATCGCCGCTCCACAGCAGACAGACAGCCTTGGAGAATTTTGGCCCACCGGATTCAATCCTTGGTGTTCAATGAAAGACCAGCATTGATACATGTGCATCAACATGACGTCGACCTAGTTGTCTACCTGAGTCAATGACAACAGAAGCCAGCGACCGGCCGACATGATGAGGTCAGTCGCATAAAGGGCCAGGACTCTTGAGGCCAAAGAAAAGAAGAAAAAAACAAGAACAAGAAGCCCGAGCACGAGCCTTGTGCACCTTGCCGTCTGGTCTGAAATTTCTTTTAGTCCCCTTGTGTGGCAGCCAGTCACTTTGCAAAACGCGTGGCCTCGAGCCACACAACCAGAGTCTCAAACATAACATGGACATTTGGCGAATCATTGGGACGTCAGCTGGGGTTACTCCAGGCGGCCGATCTTGATTGCCCAGTTCGATGATGTTGAAGCGGGGGCTGGTTAGCCGGTTAGCCTGCTGCTGTTGTTAGTGGAGGCCGTCGGCAGGTTTTGTATTGGGCAAGATGAAGTTGAACTGAGACATGGACTCTCGCCCGTGGAGTGCGGAAGTAATTCCAATTGCACTTTGATACGTGGGGACCCTGTTGGGAGAGCCGGATAGCTGGCTTGTAAGTCAAGAAATGCATCCATATGCTCGAAATGTATGCCAATGCTCTGTTCTGAGAAAGGAAACGTGATGTCAAAAGACGAAAAGACGTAGCTGTAGCTTGGCGGGATGTGGCGAGAAAGATGGAGGGTATCCATCAGATCCTTCGATCTAGTACCTTAGGTAGGTATCCAACCACCTTCAACGCCGCCACTTCGGTTGTCCCCTGGCAACTGGGTGTCGGCTTCAGCGCCTTAGCGTCAGTGCGGGACGCGGCGAGGGAGCTCCAATGCAGCGCCAGAGCCCAAAGAGATTGGGTTAGTGCCCAACAGTGGTGATAATTCGGTCTTGTTTAAAGCTGGGCTGCCGGTGAAGCTCCCATGAAGAGCTGAAAGGACGGCGCCCAAGAGATAGTGGCCCCATCTCTGGCCAGGTGGCTACAGGTACCAGGAAGCTATGCGCTCAGCTCTGCCGGGGTCTGTGAATGCTGGACGTGGGGGGTCTGTCAAAGCAATTGATCTCAACTAAAGCTGGGACTCCATCAGGACGCTCAAGTCAGTCGACGCAGCTCTTTGACGTATCTACTTTGCTCTCACTCGCAATCACGAGGCCGTGCTGCTTTTACTTTGCAGCCAGCAATGCAAGGGACTGGATTAGACCGCTAGGCGACGCAACGCGGATACCAACAGCGCCAGTTCCGACTCAACAAAGTGCGCTGGTCGTTCATCCAATCTGCCTCCACCGCTCCCAAACCAAATCCAACCAAGTGCTGTCTTACTCTACAACTTCCCTAGAGTCAAGTGCTCGTATCACCCGAAATGTACCTGCTTCTATAGGTACCTACTTAACCTCTCTATGGCGATACACTCGTACCGCCCAATTGCAGCTGGTACCACGATCGTGCATCTGTAATTTCAGAAGGAGGGCGTCACACAGACCTCGTCACTCCACCCACCCCCCTGCCATCCAGATCGCAGCTTCTCTTGTTCATGACGTTGTTCAACCAGATCTGCCAGCTGGCGTGGTGGCCAGAGCGTCAGTTGTCGGCAAGCACTACATGCAAGGTACATCACAGAGAGGTGGCGGGGCAGTGTAAGGCCAGGTACCACCAGAGGGACGGCTGTTGCTACTTCCTCACTTCATAAACGCTCTAGGCCCTCCTCCTCCTGCCCAGTGCCTGCCAGGTGACCGCAACTCTTCCTTTCTCTCTCCTTCTCCAAGATTCTCCCTCTTCACCTCTTGTCCTCGTGGAGCTCCCAAACTTCTCCTCGTTCATCACCACCGTTCTCAAGCACAAAATAAGCGTCAAGCTCTCCTGGTCGCCTCGCCATCGCCAATCGTTCGTTGTTTGCGTCGTCTCTCGTTGCATTTCTGTATCTCCCAGGTTAGTCCACCTCGCCTACTTCTTCGCTCGCTCCAAACATTCATTGTCTGCGTATTCTTCCCCTTCCCGTCTTCCTCGCAAATCTCTCCAAGTTCCCGAGCATCTACAACAGCAGATGGCTCGACTGCTTGTTCTGAGGGAACACCATAATTTCTTCACAGTCCACTTTCTATCCGCTCATCTCCTCGACCGCGTCGTACAGCCCCCTTGTACGGCCTAGCACAAACATTGGTCGTGGTATTCTGATCACCAGAAGCTCGTACCTTCCCCTCTGCAGTCACTTCCCCCTCTGGTTCAAAAACTACTCTTGGTCCTTCATCTCGCCTTCCATCTTCACATCCTTAAATCAACATATGCTTTGTTCACTCGACAAATTCCATCAATCATCGTCAAGCTAATAGTGACATCTTGTCAACAGAACTTAAGTCGACCTTTTTGACAACATCACCGCCAAGATGAAGTCCGTCGTTATCGCCCTTTGCACCCTGGTTGCGGTTACTGCCGCCCAAGGCTCTGCCAACCTTGCCGCCTGCGGCGTAAGTTTTTGTTGCCATGATCTCTGCCTACCCCGGCCGTTACTGACAGTTCCTTGTAGCAAACTTGCGCCACCAACATGTTGAGCGCCGACAAGGCTGAGGAGCTGGGTTGCAAACAGAATGACTTGAGGTGTCTCTGTGCCAACAAGAACTTCCTTTACGGTCTCCGAGACTGCTCCGCGGCTATTTGCCCGGCTGAGGATGCCAGGAAGGTTGTTGACTATGGTATCAGTATCTGTGCTGGTGAGTCCTATCTTCTCAGTTACGCCTAGAAGCTTTCTCTCACACGTTTGCAGGAGCTGGTGTTTCGATCCAAACAAGTTCTGGAGGTGGCAATGGTGGTGCTAGTCACACTGGAAGTGCTTCTGGAAGTGCCACTGGCAGTGCTACTGACGGCGAGTCGACGGCTGCCACTGCTTCTGCTTCTACCTCTGCCACTGTGAGTTCTCTTCCTCTTGTTGCTCCTATAATTTTCCTTCGCTTACTCTTATTATTAGGGAACTGCGGGAAGCAGCACGGGTGGTGAGCAAGCGTCCGGCAAAGTGTCCACCATCTTCACCACTTTTACCTCGGACGGCGAAACCGTTACCGCTGGTATTCCCACTACAATCTCCAGCAATCTTAGCAACGGAGGAAGTCTCAGCGTTTCTACTTTCACGGCGATTGTTACCGGATCCGATGGCAGCGTTCACACGACGACTGGTCAGACCACTTTGACTGTCGGATCTGGTGCGGTCACTGTTACTGCTTCCGAAGCTACTGCCACTGGTAGTGCCGTCCTTACGACTGTGACTTCTGGTAGCTCTACCATCGTCAAGACTCTGACCACGGTTCACCGAAGCACCGAGTCTGACACCGCTACTGTCACTGAAACTACCACACAGGCTGAATCCAGCTCTGAACCTAGCAGCGAACCCACCGAGACTGAGACGAGCAGTTCAAGTGCTTCCAGCACATCCACCAGCACAGCTGCCGGTGTAAGTTTTCACTTTTGAGTTGCCATCCAGTTGTTCTCTTTTGACTGATTCGATTGCAGGTTCCTCAGAAGACTGCTGGTCCCGTCGGCATCATTGCTGCCGCTGGCCTCGCCATCCTCATGCTCTAAGATTTTCTCTTGATGAGCCCTTTTTGATGTTTCGCGTTGCACATGATTGATATATAATACCCTGTTATTGTCTCATAATCCTCGACTTACTAAACATCTTTCGCGCTCGGCGTGGAAATTTGGCACCGAGTCTATCTTTCATGACAAAGGAAATAGGAACAAGGTGAATGAACATGAACTGGGAAAGTTTTATGAGGGTTAATGAGTTAAATGGTTTATCATTTTCTTTTTAATTGGGGCATGAGAAGTGCACAAGGGATTTGGTGATTAATTTTTGGTCATGTGCCAGTAGGTGGCAGAGTGCAAAAACGAGGATCGGACGCACGGCGGATTTACTTCAGTTCACATCTTCCCGTCTTACGAGAGAGTTCCAAGACTGCCGTGTACTTGGCATGATGAATACCAATCTCTGGTATAGGCTGGGGGCACGGGGCTGACATTCTTGCCACAGTTTGACAGGAGAATAATAAATAATTTTGGTGCACCATGCAATCTTCTTCGTATGCCACACCATCTTCAAATGATGCTTGAAAGACTGATGCTTCTGTCGACAAGTCAGGGGAATGTTTTACGTGAGAGCCAGCACTGCTTCGAGGTCATAATACAAGGGGATTCGATACTCTACGAGACGATGAGTTGTTCATGCAGCAGTCACGATAAATGTACACTAGGTGTTTGAAGAATACACATATAATCCAATACTATCGAAAGTCTATACTGTGATATGCCCATCAGGTATTTTTGGCTGCGGAAAGATGCAGTCCCAGAGTCCACCCAAAACGCCAGTGTGCGCAAAAGAAGAAAAAGAATTCATGATGCAAAACCGGTAGCCAGCAAGAGTGGCCCTCGAGCTCTAGGTGCCCTTTTTTAATACACACGATCGCCAATCTTGCTCCTCCAGTTCTTGGCGCGCTCGAAACCATTTTCGTGGCTCTGGAAATCAGAAAAGGTCTTCATGATCTCTTGTTCGGAGTTGAGAACAAAGGGGCCGTATTGCACGACGGGCTGGTCGAGAGGAGTGCCAGCGATGACGACTAGGGGAGAAAGTTGTTAGTAAATCATATAATGAATGGGCTGCAGAATGCGATGAAACTTACAGACTCGGGCCTCCTTTGTGGCGCTTGCTTCAGTTGACAGGTGGATAACATCGCCTTCCTGCTCGAAAAAGACGTTGTCGTACTGCTCGGCCTTTTTGGCCTGGGCCCCCTCACCGACGACGACGTTGCCGTCGAGAACGTAGGCGAAGGCGTTCCAGCCCTTGGGGAGGGCCTGGGTGACCTTTGCGCCGGGGCGCAGGAGGAAGTCGAGCAGCCAGACCGGGGTGTAGGCGAGCTCCTTGACGGAGTCGACGCCGTGGCTCTGGCCCGAGATGACCTTTATGGTGGCGCGGCCGTCGTCGACGGTGACGGAGGGGATCTCGGCGGCGCGGAGGTCGCGGTAGCGAGGCTCGCAGTACTTGAGCTCCTTGGGGAGGTCGACCCAGAGCTGGAGGCCGACGTTTGGTCGGCCGTCGTCGTGCTTGCGGGGCATCTCGGCGTGGATGATGCCGCGGCCGGCGGTCATGAACTGGAGGTCGCCGGAGTAGAGGGTTCCGGCGTTGCCGGCGAAGTCTTCGTGGTCGACGACTCCGTCGAGGAGATATGTGATTGTCTCTTGACCACGGTGAGGGCTGGTTTTTTTTAAAAAGTAACTCCGGTTAGTTCTCTGAATTTGCCAAAGGTGAGGAAGAGGAAGAGGAAGAAGAAGCTTACTGGTCAGGGAAGCCGGCCGTTGTGGAAAAGTGATCGAGCATGAGGAAGGGGCTGAAGTTGCGCTGTGATCGTGTGCCGATTGACCGTCTAACTCGCGCTCCGGCGCCTTCGGCCTGTTCGATGGCTCGAACGACCTTTGCGACGGCTCGTTGGGCGGACATTTCGGTGACTATGAGGTGGTGTGCGGGGTAGCCCAGGTTTGGAAAGCTGCTGTCTTTCTTTGCTGCTTCAGAAGATGCTGTCTTGTTCAATGCTGCTTTGCTGATAAAGTCGCTGTAGCGGTTCGAAAGAGAAGCTATCGCAAGTGTCGCAAAATCGGACACGCTTTCGCGGTACTGGTATAAGACTGTAGATGACAATCCAATGAGAATTGCAAGGATGATCTGAAAGAGCTTCATGTGAAAGGGAATCGAAGAATCAATGGCTTTATATAACCTTGGAGCGCTAGACCGAGGGAGCAGCCGCGATATAAAGAGAAATTTCTGGGCGCTGTGTTATGCCGCATTATCAAGGGATTATATCATCACCAGTTTGTCCTTCAGAAGCTTCCGGTCGAGCTTCGCGCTGTTCTAATGTTGGAGGGGCGAGTTAGCAAAGCTGGGGTCCACAATTAGTCACTTTTACATCAGCACCCTGAGAAAGCAATTCCGGGCTCCACCTTTGTTCAAGATGCGTAAATGTTTAGCATCTCTTACTCAGCACCCTTTTCGCTTTCTTTTTTTTTTTCGCTCGAGATTTCTACAGCTACAAGTCCAGAGTTTGAGAGTAACAGGCGTCATCACATGATCAAAGATGCAAAGCGGACAGTGTCAGACAGTGTCGAGATTTTTTATTAGCAAAGCAAACTCCCATTGGTATTCTACCCATTTTACGTCCTTCCATATAATTGCCCATACATCAAAACAAAGAAGAAGAGGTCAAGTGTCCCGTGTTGAAAGCCCTCTCGTCGTCAAGGTTGCTGCCGATGCAGATTCGCCCACTTCCCCCATCAATACTCATGATTCGCACTTCTCCAGCAACGTGAGGGTGGGTGGTGGAGCCATAGTCTGTCGAAATAGGAAATGAAAGAGGAATGGAATCGAAACGAGATGCGTCAGAGCTTGGCCGCCAGCTAGAAATGGCGATAATGATGCCAGACGTAGACGCCTGGCCGCAGCGGACGAAGCAGCCTACCCTTCTCCCCCTTTTTCTCTAGGTGCTTTTCATCACAATAGCGAACTGGCATCAAAAAAGCAGATGAAATCCAGTGACAGAGAAAGTCGACGTGATGCCGACCCAAACAAAAAAGGGTAAGACGAAGGGAAACACAAAGAAGAGAGAGGGCCGGTCAAATTAAGAAAATGATGCGCTGTGTCGCTTGTAATCCACTCCGGAAATCGTCTACTGGTTGATCTTCTCCTTAGATGCTTCAGTGGCGTCAGCCTTCTTGACAGCAACCCAGCTGCTCAGCCAGGCCAGCGTTTCGTTGCTAATGACAAAGGCGGTGGAAACGGCAGCCTTGCCCTGGGCCACGACGCCTTCCTGCTCAAGCTTCTTAAGCTCGGAAGCGTAGGTGTTGAACACGTGCTCCTTGCCCTCGAGGCCCTTCTGGTAGGGGAACAGAATCAGACCGCGGGTCTCATTGTAGAGATCACCAGTGGGCTTCTTGACAATGGGGAAGCGCTCATCAATGCGATCCAGGGTCTTGTCGCCAAAGGAGTCGGCCCTTTGGACGTAGGGAGAGACGATGCCATAGGGCTTCGAGAAGTAGGGAAGAACAGGGGCGGCAAAAGTTCGATAGGCAGATTCGCCCAGCTTGATGGGCCGCTGTGCGTATTCGTTGGTGGTCACAGTGTGAATGCCGTCGCTAACCAGGGGATAAGAGAAGAGGTGCTGCCAATATGATTAATAACCGGACCAAAAAGCCATCACGATTCGATTCGATTCGCGTTTATCATTGTGTGATGACAAAGCGATTCGTTTTTTTTTTAATCTTTGCATACCTGGAGGAAGGCGGAATTGACATGGCTGGTGACCTCGCCGTTGACCTGAGGAGCAGGCATTGTGATGTCAGGTGGTGTAAGTGCTGGGTGAGAATTGGAGTACAGGGTCGTCGTCGGTCGATATGCGATGATGTACAGCTGCTTTGACTGACACGGAGTAGGTTGCTGAAGGACGGAAGAGTGAGGATTATGGAGGAGACGAGAAGAGCGAGAAGATGAGAGATGAAGAGAGAGAAAGTGAGAGTCGAGCAGGAGGGATGCAAGGACGGCGATAAGGACGGGGTGGATGCCTATTAATGAGCATTCCCCAGTCCCCCAAGGGTGCCGGTTTGGCACGCCACCTGGGATGATGTATTGATAACGCGCACAAGGCGCCCTCCCGCGAACGGTACATGCAGCCAGACTGGAGGGAAAAAAAGGCATGTGAAAGCGGCGAAACAGCTGCCAATGGCTCCCTGGAAACGTGTGAGGCTTGCAGCTGGGAGCCGTGCCGCGATTGGCCACAGCTCGGCATCAGCCACACCTCGCAAGCAGGGATCCCTCCTCCTCATGTGCGTCTCACTTGGCCGACATGTGAAAGCAACCTTTGGCGGCTTTGCCAGCTTCTGTTCTGAGCCAACCGCAGCAGCACGACCGGTTTCAAAAAAAAAGTTAGTTTTTTGCTGGCCGTTGCCTTTCTTCTTCTTCCCTGCTTGGCCGTTGATTAGCGGCACATCCGGGTAAACGCTCCCGTGCCTCCAGTTGGACGAGTCTTCAATTCTCCAATCATTCAGCCCAATCGACGCCCTCGGCGATTTCGCAATCTACAAGCGCATGCCTTAGCAGGTTGGTAACACACCCCCGGATGCTGCATCTGTTGCCATACCTACCATTACCAGGAATCTCTTGGTAGTTGTTTGATACGGGAGCAACGACTAATCACCTCAAACGGCCCCGGGCTGGCAGATAAACCCGCATCGCCCGGCAGCATGGGATTTGGCACACTTGGAACGAGGGGAGGGGGGGCGGGCATCCAGAGAGCGAGATATCCGGGATTGCGACATTGGACCCTTTGTTGCGGTGTGCGAGAGCGCTATCTCTGTTTGAATCTGCCGAATTCAAAGCAACGCGGCACATTTGATGCATTATTTGCATTAACATGAAGCAGAACTGTCCGTACCAACGTCGTGTATGCAGTCATCATCCGCCTTATCGCTGAGATCGAGCCGATCAGTCAGCTAGCGAAAGGGAAGCTCGCTCAACTCCACCCGCACCGGGGACGTTCCCCCTTGCCCAAGATTGAGTGAGAGAGCAGAATTGCTTGGGAAACGTGCTTATCTTTCAGCCGTGCCCCCAGCTCTTCTTGCCAAGCAGCACACTGTACCTACACAGACGGAGCATTCATGTAGGTGCGATGCTGACTGACTCGCTGCGGCACCTCGGCCGGGTGCGTCACATCTCACTTTTGGCCCAGGGCTCACCGGCTAGCCAAAAAAGAAAGAAAGAAAGAAAGAAAAACAGACAAAAAAAACCTCCTGCCCATCCAACCGTACCTGTACAAGGGGGCAAAGGGGACGAAAAGCAGCCGGAGATGGGGCGACTCTGAGCCGACTTTGTGGTTGACAACGGGTGTACGGAGTAGCGTGAGCGCCAAGGCTACACTCTTCTCGGGACGCAAACTCCCGCCTCGTATCTTTTCGGCATCAGATGAAGGGGAACAAAGACCAGCTTGCCCATCAATCACGTGTAGGAAACCGCTCCCATGTTGCATACCTTGGCTAACTCGTACGTGCTTTTTTTCCAAGTGCTCTCTCTTGCCTGGCCGTTCGGCTGCACTGGTGATTGGCCCAAGCCGTGCCCTTTCGCAACTTGAACCCAGCCGATCGGCACCAAGTTGTGTAGCAGCGCAGCAGTAGCACTGCACATCACAGGCGCGGATTCTCTTCCGCGCGCCTTGATTTCTCCTTCTTCCTTTGTCTTTCATCACAAACGTTTGGCTTTCCGCCGGCAAATTTCCAAGACCTTTTTTAAGTTTTCCAGGTCGGAAGTTTGATCGATCCACGCCGGATACTAGTATCGCACCCTTGTCGGATTTATTGTGGAAAACTGGAGTTCACCAGCCACAATCACATGCCAGACAATGAAGGTGTACCTTTTTTTTGTTTCATGTCCCTTGTTGACCTCATCGTTTCTGCAGCGGCTGGATATTTTACTTATCGCGCTTGACGTGGGCCTGATTGCATCTTTTTCTTCTTCTATATTTATCAATCTTGCATATGAATATCTGCATATGGGCTGTCGCACAGACATACCTAATATCTCGGCTACAAGTTGCCATATTACAGACGTTGCTTGCATGCATGTTTGCTGGCCCAGAACGATTTACATGTAGATCTTGCCAGAAAGATAGACACCATTCTCATAGGCAAGTCCATATAGGCCTACTTGATCAAGAGAGGATATTTTGTTATCTCTGAGTGAGATTGAGGTGTGCATATATCGTACCACTAACTGTAAGCATATGGTGACTCTGCGATATGGGTTATGCGAGAACAATTCGCAGCCTAACAAAACGGTCATCTGAGCATCTATTATTTGCACAAGACCCAGTATGATCTTGGTCATTTCCATGAGATGAAGACCCTCTTAGCAGCTCTAGCCCTTAATGTTCATGACTCGATGGCTATGTGATCATATGTTCCTCATCTCCGACTCAAAGGTCCGATTAGCGTGTATTATTTTCGGATTCCGATTCTGGCTCTTGTGAAAACTGCAACAAGTCACGATCCCATATGATTGAATGGTGGAATCTTGTATTCCTATTGGCTAGCTCATTCATCCATGCCCAAATAGTGATAAATAAACAAGATAAAAAGAAGGGTCCAGCTTCACACAATGCTATCTAGACATGTCTGAGACAATTTTCAACCCGTAGCTTACTCCCATTCGGCGAATAAAAACACCATAGCCTCATGTTAGTCACCAAAATAAACCGCTAATAACACAGATGGCTGTCACAAGCTGCAGTTAAAGGCCTCCGGCCGAGTCAAGCAAGATCAATCCCATGTTATCACCTGGCTAATCTTATATGCAAGCCACTTCCTTCCTCCCTGGCTGTCTCGGCTGCCATGCAGATTTTATTGCCCGCGTCATTGCGTCAGATATCCACCCAAGGGCTCTAAAGTAGGGGTCTGTAGGACGCTTCGAGACGTGGTGACTAGCCAAATTGCGCCATGGCTTCAAGCAGAGCGTAACGTCTCTCTGCAGGAGGAGGAGTCTTTGCGCAGGATTTTTCCCGAGGGGAATGTCATTTTGGAAGACCCCGGTAGACATGTGATTTGACAGGAAATCTCTCAAACATGCGCCTCTTCATCAAGGTTAGCTTCGCTCTGCTATATCACCGGTAGGATACCTTCCGAGGAGTCTCAGGGGAGTGATTTCGTGGGAGGGAGTGTCAAATCTGCTGGGTATGCTCTGTAGGTTTGGAGTGGAGTCGACATTTGCCATATTGACGGTCCTTTCTCCGATATATCATGCTTTGACCTTCGGAGCCCCAATAAAGAAATATAAGAGGCATCCCGTGATTCTGTAGAGACTTGGCATGATAGAGATAAGAAAAGACCAGCTGACATCCTAACTTGGTTGACTGCACTACGTGACGTCCCAAATTCTCGGTACGGTAACACAGGGGGTTGATTCACCATGTGTTGTACATAGTAGATACCATGAGAAACTATTTGAGTGACAGGATATCTGAGTGACAGTATCGGGAACTACGCGCAATATGACAGTTTCACGCCGTCTCTAGCAGCGTCATACCAAAATAAAGTTACGACTACGATATTACCTAGGTAGGTATAAGACCCAGATAATCACGTTGACTCATCCAGCTGATGGCTCGATGATTATCTGTACTCCGAGTATACCTAGTAAGTACGCTGAATGGTTGGGATGTTGAGCTCCCTAAAGGAAACGCATTATACACAGACAGTAAGCAGGGCGCGCCACGTCTACAGGATTCTATGTCAAATTCGGTATAGGAGGTAAATAGATCTTGGGAGTACGTCTTTACTCTATCCTTCAGCCCACTATTCTCAACTATCAGCGTTTCACGGCATTGTTCGCCCCATCTAATATAGGGACGAAGATCCAACATATCACGTATACTCCGTCCGTAATACCACGGGAGGTAGGCATTGCTTGTATGTAGGGGCATGTACCTTTACTGTTTCCAGGAACTGGTCTCAGAAACTATTTACTAATAAATCTTCTATTGGGAGTTGGCGGTGCTATTTGATGATCCGTCTAGCTTTGCAGCGATGCGATGCAGGAACTTTCACAGCATTTTTAACCTCACCAGAGGCTGTACGATAAACTATGCATTGGGAGTTAACGCTATTTGGTGATTCGTCGACCCTTGCATTGCATATGCAACGGAACACTTCACAGCATTTTTAACCTCACTCTGGGCTGTACCAAACCACTCCTATCTTGATACAGTACATAAACATTACCAGGGAATACCGTGACCTCGACTCCTTTGCAATACCACATGATCTAGATTATCGTAGAGATGGCCTAAATGCGCAACCAAACTCATCAATACCATTATTCTGCCACATCTTGCAACCTGTTGTCTTAAGAAGTTGGCATCTATCATCGCTGTTTAGGGTAAGTGTCTAGGGCGACTCCTCCGAAGAGCAGAATGTACGTACAAGTAGGTAGATACACAACTACAGAAAACTCAAGACGACGTGTAATCAAAAACGATGTAGTATCGGAACTACCAATCATTTGTTACGTTCGTTGATACCGAAGTGTTTTCTCGAAGCTGAAAAGAACAACTGGATCAATCTTGTCGATGGATTGCGGGACAGTTCAAAGGTGGTCTATGCTCGTACATCGCCAAATCTACTACGAATCGAGGGATTGCTCGCTTGTTCTGTCGAGTCTATCAGCTGTAAAATGACGGCAAAACCAATTGGCCTAACAGCCATCTTGATCATTAGTTGAGCAGCCATACAGCGACATTTGATGCATCGTGTTACATGGGATAGCAAACGCGGTGGTTTCACAGCCCA